CCGGCCACAAGGAAGGGCTTGCTGGCCACATGTGCTGCGCCCTCTGCTTCGGACCCTCTCGCACCCTGAACCGCGTCCTGCCCTGTCTGCATCTGTCCTGCCCACAGCCAGGCCCTTCAAGGGCTTCTGGATGCTCCGCAGTGCCTTGCCCAGCCTTGGGCCCCCACATCCCCTGGGTCAGGCTGGGGGACAGGGCACAGGCTCATGGCTTCTGCAGCTGAGGCTCCCTGCATGGCTAGGCTGGGGGGCTGGAGAGGAGGCAGAAGCCCCCACGTCGGCTCATTCCCAGCCACGTGCAGCACCGTGTCTGCCTGGTGGGGCTAGGGGGAGCAGACCCTTGGCTTTTCCATCAAGTGGGGGGCACTGACACGGGGGCTTGTGTGCACTGCAGCCAGCCTGGGCACTGCCGTGGTAAGCAGAGTTAGATGGAGCACCCCTCCGGGTCCTGCTGGGCAGGGGCTGGAGGGGGCTTGGCTCTCTCCTTGCAGCCCTGGCTCCTCCGCGGGCAGCCTGGTGGAGTGGGAAAGCGCCTTGCACGCAGAGCTAAGGCTGGGTACACCAGCTGGGCCTGCTCCAGCCTGGGCGCTGGCAGCCACTCACGCTGGCAGGTGTTTTGGAAGGGGCTGTGCCCGCTTGGCTGCCTTCCTGCTCATCCTGCCCTGGCAAGTGCCCACCCCGGGGCTCCATGCCCATGCCTGGGGGGCACGTGTGGAGCCCTGGGGGGTGCTTTGATGGCAGCGGATGCCTGTGGCTGTCACGGTGTACCCAAGCCAGTGTGACCCTGCTTGGAAGAGAGCGGCGCTGGGGCTATGGCACTAGCTCCAAGCATGTCTGCAATGCAGGCTCCTCTTGTCCTACAGGGCTGGTCTGAGGCTGGGGACCCCCCCTCCTGCCCCAGCCACCCCAAGGGGAGTGTGAATGAGTTCACCCCACAAGCCCCAGGTTTATGGCATGTGCTCCTCGGTAGCCTGCAAGCTCTTCCTGGCAAGCTGTGTGTCTGGCAGGGGACGATACCATGCCAGGCACACGTGACCCATAAACGTGATTGCCCTAGAGAGAGATAATCCCAGGGTTTAACTGCGGTCCCAGGGCATGGGTTCTGACCTGGCTGATTCCAGCTATAACACCCTGGATGCCAGGAATGACTCCCCATTTGTACCAGATGCAGCTCAGCATATAACTGCTTGTACTGGGACCAGCAAGGTGTGGTGGGCACGTGATCTGGAGCCCGAAACCTGTGCAGTTTCGCTGGCTGCAGCCTGGTGCAGAGTCACCACAGCACAAACCGGGTCACACCACAGTGGTGGGGGCAGCCGTGTGTCCCCGTCTATCCCAGGGCAGCTGGGGGTTGCAAACAGACTGCTGTTGGCTCCCCTGCCACCTCGTAGGGAGGCACGGCCAGGGCGGCTGCCCATGGAGAGCCGGCCGTCTGTCTGCTCCGGCCGTGGTGCACCTCGCACGCGCGTGCAAAGCCTCCTCTGGAGCTAACTGTTGTGCCGTCCAGCCTAGGGGTAGATGTAACGGGACTGCCCTCTGCCCCAGTCCCCTCTGCCAGAGCATGGGCAGGCATCTCCCGGGGGAGAAGAGGGTCAGCGGTGCCCGCCTCGAGGCTTCCCTCCATTCTTTCCAAGGGAACAGGGCCAGGATTTATGCGCAGTGTCTCTGTCTAAGCCTCAGCCTGGGAGCACAAACCCAGCTGGAGCTCCTTCTCTCTGGGTCTCAGGCAGGAGCAGGATGTATCAGCGCTCTGAAGAGGCAGGAGGCAAGAGGAGCCATAACACGGTCGTCAGTTATTTGCTCCTGGTTTCACCCTAGTTCCCTCAGCCAGGGCCCCTGCCTGTCCTGTCCCATCCTGCCCTATCCTGTCCTGGCACAGGAGAGGCTTGTGCACAGGAGAGGGAGGCACAATGGCTCTTAATCTTCCCCTCGGAGGCAGGGCAGGGAGGGCTCGGGGTGGGTGAGCCCAGGGGGAAGTCAGGCAGGGCAGGCAGGCGCTGCCAAGCAAGGAGCAAACTTGCTGCTTTTAGGGTCTGGAGGCCAAGAGGCACCTGGAGGGAATTAGGTAGACGCGTTCCCCCTCCTTGCAAACCTTTTGTAGAGCAAATTCTTGTGGTTACCCATTGCAATTGCTGCAAATTATACAAGCGCCCCGTGCACTGTTCAAGTGGGAGCACGCAGGTGGCACAGGTCGCTCTGGTTTGATGGAGGGCATGTGTGCATGTGTGAATGTGTGTGCCTGCGTGCATGCATGGACCATCCCGTCTTTTTATGGCTGGGGGGATAAAAAGGCAAAGAAAAGGCAGCTCCTGGCAGGGTCGTGGGGGAGGCCGGGACCCCCTGCCAGGCTTCTGGCTCCTGCCACCGTTTGCATTTTGCGTGCCAGCGAAAGGGGCAGGTGTGCAGGGAGGCTGTGACTTCACCCAAGCTACAGGCTGCGTCTATGGCTGAGATCTCAGTGTCCTGGTGATATTAATCCTCGCTCCGTTGCCCACCGAAGGGGAAGCTGAAGGCAGCATTTCACCAGGCACCGATCACGGGAGCTGCAACATCCCCTGTGATGGGGATTCAAAGTCTCCAGCCGGCCCTGCTCCGCTGAGAGGGGTCTGAAACCTCCCCACGTCCTGTGCTGCACCGGGCCTGGGTCCTGACCTTTGCATCTGGGAGCCTGAGCCATCTGGGACGGCCTCTGGCCTGGCTCTGGGCTCTGCCGCCCGGCTTGTGCCTGAGCTGGGGCTTGCTGCAGGTTTTACACGCAGGCTCTGAAGCCCCGGTGCAGAGCTGTGGAGGCCACCGAAGACGAGCGTGCCTTGCACAAACCCCCTGACAGGCAGTGAGGACCCCGTGGCATTAGCACCACCCATCGCTGGAGGTTTGATGCTAACAACCCCGCAAACGAGCGGTTGATGCAATGGGTCCCTGTGCAGCGATGCCCCAAACGGAGCTGCCAGTACGGAGACGGGGAGAGATGGGGGCAGCGCTGAGCCTGGGCCCCTGGCCAAGGGTGTTCATTTCCAGAGGCGTTTCAGCTGCAGCTGGTTAGGAGGCTGGTTTGGGATGGGGGGAGGGCAGAGCGGGGAGGGGCTCCTCGGCTTGCCCTGGGCATAGGCGCAGAGGAGGAGGGTAGGGCCAGGGGGTGGTGTGAAGAGCAGTGGTGGTGATGACAATGGCTGGAGGAATCCCAGGGGTTCCCAGTAACTTCTGGCAGGTCTGGGAGGGCAGGGCCGGGTGTGGGGGCACAGGCAGGAAGCCAGGGCTGCAGGGGTGGGGGGTCCTGGGACAGGGGAACAGGCCAGGTGGGGGGTCCTGGCTCCCAGGGCTGGGCAAATGCAAGGCTTACCCCTGGAGAGGGCTGTGCTCAGGGCAGAGCGGGGGCTTGTGACATGCCGTTCCCGTGGTGTGTGCTCTTCCAAGCGTGCGTGTGCGTGTGTGTATGTGCCTACACGTGTGTGCATGAGTGCTCGCATGCAACTGCCCTAGGGCTTTGGGCTGCTCAGTCAGGAAAGGCTCTAACACGCACACTTGCATACAGTACATGCACCTGTGTGTCCACGCATGTGCTTCTGTGGCCCACACGCCAGAGACGGCCCGGCCCAGGGACGGGGGTGGAGCCTGGAGGGGGGGGCCATAGGGGCTCCACGGCCAAGGGACGGGGTGCGTCCACGGGTGTGTGCACGTGTGGGCATGTCTGTGTGCAGGAACATGGGCGCGTGTCATACAGAGGAGGGGTGCTGAGAGGCCACATGATGACATTGTGAGGACAACGACATCACGACGGTGCAGCAGTGTGTGCACGTTCCTGGATGTCTGTATCCAGGAACGTGGGCACGTGTCATATGGGTGGGGGGGAGGTTACAGGCCACAGGATGACATCACGAGGCAAACGGCGTCATGGCAGTGTGTTCACATCCATGTGCAGGAACGTGGGCACGTGTCCTACGGGGAGAGTGAGAGGCCACAGGATGATGTTGTGAGGGCAATGACATCATGACAGTGTCGCAGCGCGTGCATGTCTGTGTCCAGGAACGTGGGCTCATGTCATGGGGGGGGGGTTAGAAGCCACAGGATGACATCACAAGGGCAATGACATCACAGCAGTGTGTGCACACGTCCGTGTGCAGGAACGTGGGCACTGTCCTAGGGGGTGAGAGGCCACAGGATGACATCAGAGGGTAATGACATCATCACGCGTCCTACAGAGGAGGGGGGTGAGAGGCCAGGGGATGACATCACAAAGGCAATGATGTCAGGATGGTGCAGCAGTGACGACTTAGCGCCTGTGCCTATGGGCTGTGCAGTGACAGGATGACGCGCCACGCGCGAGCTATGACGCCACACACCGCCCAGTGACGTGGCACCGGGCCCAACATGGCGGCGCGGCCACGGCAACGCCCTCCCCTCTGGGGCTGTGCTCGGCGAGCGGGTCCTCCAAGAAGGCGAGAGCGCCTAGACGGGGCGTACTCTGTCTCGCCGTCTCGCTGGTTCCGCGGTAACGCCACTTCCCGGAAGCGCCGGCGGAGCAGCCGAACCCGGAAGTGTCTGTGTGGCGGTGGCCGGACCCCCCTTCCCTCCCCCCCCCGCCGCCATGGCGTCCCCTATGGCCGCCGCGGGCTCCAACTGGGGCCTGATCATGAATATTGTCAACAGCATCGTGGGCGTCAGCGTGCTCACCATGCCCTTCTGCTTCCGACAGGTGAGCAAGGCCCGCCCCGCGCCTCCGTTTCCCTCCGCGGGGGGTGGGGATTCATTGACCCCCTCCGCGCCCCCAGCCCCATGAGCCGGGCGTGAGGGGGGGCCTGGCTCAGGAGTGTCTCTGAGGACTTCCCTCCCCCCCATGCATTGACGTGTCCCCCGTTGCCTCCCGTATTAAGGGAGGTTTCTCGTGGCCCATGGCCGAGGGGGAGACGGAGCTGGGCCCCTGCTCTGTTCCCCTCTTGCTTGCAGCCCCCTGTACGGCTGCTCCTTGCTTAACATCGTGGTTACGTTCTTGAAAAACGGGACTCGAAGCAAAATAGCGTTAAGCGAATCCAGGCAGGAGCGACCTGTTAGCAGGCGGTGGCCAAACGACTTCGTAACGAACATCGCGGGACTTTCAAACAAGCGCGTTCCCTAACAGATTGGTGACGTTGTAATGAAACAACGTTAGCCAGGATGGTGTTTGGTGAGGAGCGCTTGTATTTGAGGGGCTTTGATTCAGAGGCTGTGCCCGTCCTGTGCTCGAGGAGTGACTGATGCCCCTTTCCTCCAAGTGTGCATTTGTTCGCTCCGTGAGATGGAGGGCTGCCGATGCAGGTTGTTGCTGCCTTTCGGAGTGATTGTAGCCGTGTGGGGCAGGTGAGAAGGTGGCACAGGCCTTGCTCCATGCTTCTTAGCGCAGAGCTTTAGATCGGGTTTAACCAGCGAGACTCACAGTTGTAAGGAGAGGCAAGGTAGGCCAAGCACTGTAGCCGTGGGATCATGTATTGACCTGGCTCAGGCAGGGTTGTGTGTTGTCAGCCCAGCTCTCAGCGGTGACGTAGACCAGGGGAGCCCAACCTGTGGCATTGCACTGCAAGTGGCCTGGGCAGTGTTGATGGGTGACACATGGCAGATCGAGGAGGCAGTAGGGGGCAGAAAGCATAGCAACAGATTGGGTGGAAGAAGAGGATCGGCATGGCACTTGAGGGGACAGGGCCACACGTCTATCATATGTTAGCCCCCACTGACGTAGGTCATAGGAAGGCAGGGCTGGAAGGGATTTCATGAGGTCACCTAGGCCAGCTCCCTGCTCAAGACTGGCCGTGAAGCTGGACCTACCTCAGTCTTCATTCAGACTGAGGGAAAGCACCAGAAACGACTGTCCTTTTGCTAGATGTCATGTTTTCCTTCTGAACAAGGTCACCCTAGAAGAGCTTCCTCCTTTCTCCCAACTGGGGGTAACAAAACTGGGACGCCTGCATGCTTACTGGTGCCGTGCAGCTTATGCAGCATGCTGGGCTCTAAGGCTTTGCAAAGCAATCCTCTGACATCTTATGCCAAGAGGTGTGTCCTGGCTTTGCTGATCTGAGGGTTGCCAGGGCCCCATCTAATTTGAATAAAATGAATGCAAACAGCATTGGCAATTACAGTCCTTCCTGTTTGAGGTCCCTGGTTTACAAAATGTTTAATGATTAACATCGTCTTTTGCAAACGCCTGCCAGCACTGCGTGGCTAACAGTGCAGGTGGTTTGGGTGTAAACTTTCTGAACAGCCTCTTTCACCTGGGAGGAGGAGTAGGGTCTGGGCTACCGCACCAGCAGAGTACTAAGTGCGTGGGGCAGTGTCCTAAAACTGGCTCTGGCAGGGCCTGAACAGGGCAAAGTTTTGAAAGGTGTGTTCTGCAAATTTGCCTGCTTTGCTGTTCTGGGCAAAAGCATCACTCCAGAGTTGTTTAGGAATAGGTGACTGCTCTGTGCCTCTGCTTCCAAAGTGGGCACACAAGTGAGATAGAACTAGTCCATCACGTTTGAGCTGGCTGCATTTGAAGGAGGCATCTGCCTTCTCAGGCAAGAGTGTGGCTGAGAAGCTGAAGGTGCCACAACCTCAAAGCAGGGGGTAGGTGGCTTTCCAACTGGAGCTTGGACATCTTTCTTTTTTTTCCTTCCCTTCCAGTGTGGCATCGTCCTAGGTGCCCTGCTGCTGGTTTTCTGTGCTTGGATGACTCATCAGTCCTGCATGTTCCTGGTGAAATCGGCCAATCTCGGCAAGCGCAGAACCTACCCGGGACTGGGTAAGGATTTTGATTCCTAGAGCATGCCATTATCTTGTCCAACTTTGACACCAAGGTGGCTGAATTATTGACGCAGGATTTTGGTGTAGCTCCTGCTATACTTAGCTCCCCTGTTTAATTTTTCCTCCTGCTTCGTGTTGCCTGAGGGTTGAATTCTCCCTTTGCCTGGGAAATCAGTAGGCCCAGGATTGTTTTGACTCCACAGTGCTGAAGGACGGGATGCGGTGCTGAATGATCAAAACACGAGGTTGCAGGAGCTGGCAAAGCAGGCGTCTGGTGTGAATTATTGGCCTCAGCACAAAACCCACTAGCTTCCCCACCCAGCGTGCTGCTGAGGACATTGGGTTCTGCCAGTAGAGAGCCTGGCATAGAACATGGGCTTTCTGGAGCTCAACTGTGTGAGCGTCTATAGTAGAGCAAGGGGGAGAGGAGAGGAAATGGTGCACTGAGTTCCAAGTGGCCAAGAAAATAAAAACATCTGCAAGATTCATGTGTGGGTTCTTGGCAGAGGGAGCTGTCCCTCTTCCTTACAGCTCGTCTGCTCAGCATTGGCGCCAAGATTGGCATCTGCTCGTGACCTCTGTTCTGTTTCCCAAGGATTTTGGGGGAAGGAGGAGACGGTCGGGTTTGGCTTGAGGAGCTGGAGCTCTCGTGATTGGCACACAAATGAAGGGCTGCTGATTGGAAGGCACTCTCCGACTGGGAAACAAATGGAGGTGCTGATGGGGCAGCCCCTGACAGGGCTTAGTTGAATTGCTGTGCGGGGGGTCAGGAATCAAGCTGCACAGGCAAAATCTTTGCCTCTGCAGCCCTGGGAGATTCTCACTTCTGGAAGTCCTATCCTCTGCCCTCCGGTGGCCTGAAGCCCATCCTGCATCTCCTGCCTTGCTTAGTTGCCTGTGTTCCCACCACCTTGGGGAGTTGGTGCAGAGAACTGGCTGGTCTCGCTGTTTGTATGAGACTGAAAGCAACGTGCTGTCTGTGCAGTGACCCTGCTGCTGACAGATGAACGCCCTTGGTGCATTAAGTACCCAAGGCTCCGTCGTTTAGCTTTGTGGTGTGGCTCCTGCCAAAATATATATCTACCAGCAGCAGGAAAGAGTGGAAAAGTTGTGGCCTCAAAGGTTGTGCCTCCAATACTGCAGAGGCGACTCAATTATAGTCGAGTGCTCAGGTGGAGTACTGTTGGTCCAGTCCCCCTGTCTCAGCTGGCCGGAGTGCCTCTCCCACCCCCTTCCTTGTGACAATGAGGCTTTGTGCAGTGCTGTGCCTTTGTTGAAGCAAACAGAGTCCCCCTTCACCTTGGAGCGTCTCCCAGGAAGAAGCACTCCTCTGGCCTTTCTGAAGCCAGGGAGCTCAGATACACAGAGGGGCCAGTAACACTTCCAAACTTCCTGGCACTGTCTGGTGCACAAACACTGGCACGGAAAGAACCAGACTGCCTTCCCTTCCTCTCCTCCCTCCTCAGATCTGGGAGAGGTGCCACCATGAGCAGCCAGAGGAGGGCCGGCACTGAGAAGGAAAGGCATCCTCAGCCCAAATGAAAGCAGCGCTCCTCCAGTGCATCCTAATACATCAAGGTTGAGCAGCTCTACACAGACAGCCTTTGTCGCCATCCACGGGTACATCTGTGAGGGAGCCTGGCAGCCCCTGCAGCTGATTCTGTGGGAGGCTTTGGCACCACGGGGAGATGCAAGAAAGTTTTGCCAATGAACTTTAAGTGGCCAGGTTCTTCCGGAGGAATGTTCAGAGCGATGGATGCAGCAACAAAAGAGCCAGGGCTGGGGCAGGCCCATGTCTAGCGTAAACACTTTCATTTATGCAGTGCTTTCTGCATGGGGGAATATCTGTATATATCTCTATCTGATAGCTGGCAAAGATCTTGCACCCTGTGCTATTGTGTAGCAGCAGCTGCCAGTGTACAGCAAAGTGGTACAATAGGCTGGGATTTCAAGAAATGAGAATTGCATCTAACTGGTACTCTTGGGGGAATAGGGACATAGAATGGGATGATTACAGACTACGTGAGCTCAGGACAAGCAGCACACTGGCCCCTTATCCCAAAATGAGGCACTGATTTGGTGCTGGCACGTGTCATAGGCTGGATGGGATGCTTCCTGTGGCAGTCCCAGCTTTGGGGTAGAAAGTCATCTCCAGCACTGGCCAGACCCAGGTCTGCTCAGCTGGTGATTCCTGTGGGTTTCTGGAGGTCGCATTTGGAAGTCTTGTCTGTGCAAAATTATGCAGCCGCTCCTCTCTTGTCTCTTTGGGAAGATAAAGGATCCAATTTTCCTAGTGTCCCCAGATGGGGACATCTGGCATAATGTCTGAAGACTCGGTCTCATTAAAACATCATTTCAGAATAGCCAAGGAGACTGATTGTTTCTTAAAATCCCAAGCCTAGACTGTAGCCAGCAGCAGTAGTTATTATGTGGAGGCATCCGCCTTTCTACACAAACTAACAACAACCAGGCTGATTGCAATGAAGCAATAGCAACAATCCTTTCGGAGCTCAGTTCATATAACAAGCCTCTCTTCAAGTGGCTTATCTTTTTACTGCCTTTATCCCTTCACCTCAGATAGGCACTGCCTACTTCTACCAGTCAACACCGTCTTTCCCTCTTTGCTAGGAAACCCCAAACAGGGACAAGACAAAATCCAGAAGCTTTTCTAATGGCATGGCCTCTTCTCATGTGCAGTCAGCTTACAAGACTCAGCCAGCATTTTGCCTTGCTCTTCTCCAAGCTGTTGTCTGCCTTTTGGGCTTCCCCACATGACAGAAGCCATGACTTGCTTTTCTAACAGTGGCCCCCCCTGCCCCCTCCCTCCTTTTTTCCTGCTCTGGGGGGATGTTTGGTTTCCTTCATTTTCAAACTAAGGAGATTCCAAGGAAACAGGAGATGCTGGAGGTTATGGAAGGCACTTCCAGAGATGAGCCCACTGCATTGGCTACCACCAGGAATGTATACTGCACGGCCACATCTAGAGAACCAGCAGGGAAAACCATGCTGCTCTTTGCTTGGTTTGACCAGTGTTAACTACAGAGGAGCAACGGGAAAACAATGTGGTCTGTGTTAGAACTGGAGGTCCGACTTCCCCCGTTTTTCCCGACCCACCCAGAAAGATATAAGCTGAGCTTTCTTGACATTTTCTGTTTCAGGAAGAGCAGTGATTTAAACAATACTGATCATTTTCTTCTACGAGCTGTGACCAAAGTATGGGGGGGGGGGGGGAAATCTTTTGGAAAAA